TGTATTGCAACATCGTTGATGCGCCTTGGGTTTGTACTGGTCCTCCTGATCCTCCTTTTTTCTCGCTCGTCTCGCCTCTCTTCCTCCCACAACACGTCGTGGCAATGAAGACTCCGACCGAGGCTGGGGCATGCGTGGCCAAGTTTTGGCGGATGCGCGGCGTGCTCGAGCGCGCTATGTGGCGGAAGGACGCGCCGCGTGGCCTTCCGTCGTTCTCCCTAGACGGCCTGGACGAGGCGGCAGCGTGGACGAACGGGAAGTGCAAAACGCATGCTCTGATGTTGTCGGGCGACGGTGTCCTCGGTCAAACGAACTTGGCGCAGGCCCTCATGGCGGTCGTGTCCCCGGGTGGGTTTGGGTTCGTGGACGACCCCGACGCCTTCCGGGAAATCGACGGGAGGATCGCCGAGGGCCACGGACTGGTCATCGACGAGGTCTGTCTGGCCAAGATGAACTTGAACCACGTGAAACTGCTGGACCTGGACCAGAGCAGGCGGATTTCGGGCAGGTTTCAGCGGGACCATCCCGAAGGGCTGCCCCCGCATCTTCTCACTAATTCGCCAGTGGAGGAATTTTACCCGAAGGTGATAAACCCGCACGACCGCCAGGGAGTCATGCGCAGGCAGATGTGACAGGACGTGCTGAAGGACACCCGCGTCGGGCTGGACGGGTTGGCATGTTTGTAGCGCGGCGGGCACAGTGCCCCGCCGACGCGTGCTCGCGTTGCTTTCTTGTTGCTCGCTGGCGCCTTGCTTCTTTGTTGTTCGCTAGCGCCCTCGCCCCCTTCCACAGGAGCGGGCCACGCAGCTGGACACGTAGCTGCGCGCGTTACCGTGCCTCTTCATGAAGGCGTGCTGGAACGCGTTCTTGTAGCGCTGCTGCTACCGCGCCGCGCCAACGCGTTGTCATGCTCGCCGTCGGTTTCTCGCTGGCTTTCTGTCGCCCCGCTGGAGAAGCGGGCGACGCGGCCGGGCACGTAGCTACGCACGTTGCCATGCCTTTCCGCGCGCGCGAACCCGATCACGACGTCATCGAAGTGAAAAATAAAGGAGAGGGGAGGAGGGGAAGGAACGGGAGGCGGGGGATGGGGGAGAAGGACGCGGGGGGAAAGGGGAGGAGGAGGAGGAAGAGGAGGAGGAAGAGGAATAGAAGGACGAGGACGAGGAGGAAGCGGCGGGCGGGGGCGGAGAGGCGGCCCCCTCGGTCGGATTGCGCCAACGAGCCGTGGCCCGGAAAGGCACGCCCGACAACCTCGCGCCCGCGCGGGCCAAGGGCCGTGGCGTGCCCGTTTCGCCGATCAGCTGGGTTCAAGGCTTGGCCGCGAGAGCCTGGATCCTTGCCCCCTCCGTCGTCGCCCCGGCCCCCCTTGCGTGTTCCGGGACATCGCGTTTCGAATACCACTCGGCTATCGCAACTTCCGCCGCCAGCCCGCGGGCCAAAGACACCCGTGGAAGTCGTGGAACGGTGCCCGTGCCCCCTGTCGGGCAGGCTTGCGCCCGAGAAAGAATACGAGTGCTCGGAAGGCGCCGCGGGTTGAACTCCCCGCTCCTGGGCCCAAAAATCGGTCGCGGCAGTGGTGAAAGCCCCTTTCGTCATTCCCCCTCCTCTCCTCTGGCCCGCTCTAATCCCCTTTTCGTCTGTCCTCCCTCCCTCTCCCTCCCTCCTTTCCTCTTCTGCTCCTTATTGCTGCTGCTGCTGCTCCTCCTCCTCCTCCTCATTCTCCATGTCCTTTCCCTCTCATCTCAACCTGAACTTCCCCTTTTGGCCCTCTCTCTCCGTTTCCTTTTCCCTTTCCCATCTTCTTGTCCCTCCCCACCCGTGCGTCCTTCTTCTCCCCCTCCTCCTCCTCCTCCTCCTCCTCCTCTTCCTCCTCCTCCTCCTCCTCCTCCTCCTCCTCCTCCTCCTCTATCTCTTCCTCTTCCTCTTCCTCCTCCTCCTCCTCCTCCTCGTCCTCTTCCTTCTTTTCCTCCTCCTCCTCTCCATTATCATCATCATCGTCGTCATCCTCCTCCTCATCATCATCATCATCATCATCATCATCATCATCATCATCATCGTCATCATCATCATCATCATCATCATCAGCATCAGCATCATCATCATCATCAGCATCATCAGCATCAGCATCAGCATCATCATCATCATCATCATCATCATCATCATCATCATCATCATCATCATTATCATTATCATCGTCGTCATCACTATCATCGTCTTTATTCGCATCCCCTTCATCATCGGCATCGTCATGAACATCCTGTTCAGCATCAGCAGCACCACCACCAGCATCATTCGCATCATGGCCAATCCCATCAGCATCTCCATCCTCGTGGTCATGGTCATCATCAGCATCATCATCATCGTCATCATCATCCGTATCATCACCACCATCAGCAATATTTTCATTATCCGACTCGCCATCGGCATCGGCATCGGCGCCGACATCACTATCAGTTTCATCATCCGCGTCTTCACCCCTTCCTGAGTGCAGGGGTGAATAGGGGGGACATCATCTTCTTGGATGCCATCATCTGCATCCTTTCCCTCGTCATCATATGCACCATCATGAGCATCACCAGTTTCAACATCAGAGTCGCCATCGTCTTCGTCATCGGCCTGGGTATCATGATAACGATGCTGGTGATGATGCTCATCATCATCACCATCATCGTCACCAGCATCATCAGGAACATCAGTAACAACATTACCAACGTAATCGTCCGTATCCTCATTAGCTCCTCCGTGCAGGGGCGGATCAATGAGGCGTCCACTTTTCGGACGCCCTCATCCGCATCTTTTTCTTCGTCTTTTTCCCAAGCCTTACCCTCATCCTGCTCATCGTCATCCTCATCATCACCGTCATCTCCCTCGTCTCCCCCCTTCGCCCTTTCCCTTCTCTCCCTCTTCCTCTCCCGCCCCTCCACCGAGACATCATCGATATCTTCGCTCGCCTCTTCCTCATCCTTCTAATCTCCTGCTCCTCCCCGCTCATCGTTTTGCTCCCTTTTCGCAATTCCCTCTCCTACCCTCCCAGGGAAGCCACGACAGACCACGGCGGCCAGCCAAATACCCCTTTGTTTATCAGGGATCGCGCGCCTCCCATTCCATCTGCCCGAGCGGCACAGGTTGCCGACGCTGTGAAGCAAGTGCCGCCAGCACGCTCAGAGCAGCCGGGAAACAGTTATGACAAAATCAACAAGACGATCACCATGAAAGGTCTACAGGCGGCAATGCCCAAATAGGAACATTAAGTGAGACTCGCCTTTCAATATTGGCAGCGTGCGCAGGCGTGCACCATGAGCCAGCTCATGGACCTTTGGCTTGCGCGCCTGGTGGCAACATTGGGAGGCGGATGCCACTTAACGCCCGGGTGCTCTTCCAAGTTAATCCTTCACAGGACCCCCGCCACGTTTGCCTTGCGCTTTCGTTCCTACAATCAGATGGCTAACATGCACCGCGCGGTGCAGACGAGACGTTCTTCCGTAACGTTGACATGCGGACGTCACTTGATGCGACGGGCCCCGCCTGGTCTGATTCAACATTGTTATGGTTTCCATCCCTGTGCCACTTTTGTTAACAGTTTTTTCACTCCCACAAGTGTTCCCCAAGGGTTTCCCTAACGGCTGGGGGGAACACGTAGTCTAATGCATTGGCCAATATTTGACCCAAGGCTTGGCCGCATAGGCACTTCTGAATGGCAGGGGACGGCGGTGGTTCGCCGTAGGCGTCTTCGATACCCCAAACATGCCCCCAAGAGGCCCCACGTCAGCCAATGATTGCCTGAAATATCCAGAAATCCTCCTCCTTCTCCTCCTCCTCCTCCTCCTCCTCCTCCTCCTCCTCCTCCTCCTCTTCGTCATCCTCCTACGCCTGCTCCTCGTCCTCCTCCTTCTCGTCTCTCAACCATATTTCCGCCCTCATTACGTGGGCCCTCACCCATCACTCCCCATCCTCCGCCCCCGCCTCCTCCCGGCAAAAACCGACAGAATCCCCCGAACACGAACACGCTTTGACTATCCCAGGCAACCTTCGGGTGCCCTGAGGTCGTGCTTCCTGTCGTGTTCTCGCTCCTCGTCCTGTCTGCGCTGTCCTGCGTGCATGTTTCCTATGTTGTCTGTGTGTCTGTCTGTCTGTCTGTCTGTCTGTCTGTCTGTCTGTCTGTCTGTCTGTCTGTCTGCCTGTCTGTCTGTCTGTCTGTCTGTCTGTCTGTCTGTCTGTCTGTCTGTCTGTCTGTCTGTCTGTCTCTCTCTCTCTCTCACCCTCCCCGATACACATCCCCTTCTACGCATTGCTTACTAGCCAGACCCGCAGCACAAAGGATCACCCACATCGAAGAACGTGCCTCAGCATCCAGGCAGCTCAAAATTGCCCAAGGTTCAGACATGGCCATTGAAAGAAAAATGCTTGCACCACTTCGGCTTGAGCTGCGAATCGAATGGCACTGCTGCTTCCCCGAGCCCTCGACTTTAATATTGATAGTTGTGACATCTCCCGGGGCCTTTCGAACAAATAAAGATACACACTTTATTTCAGTGTGCGCGTCCATTCTCAATGCTAAGGCTAAGGTCGGGGGCGGAGGGGTCGCATCATCAGTTGTCGTGCCGCCCAAGTGGTGCAAACTTGTTTCTTTCACAGAGGGACGTCACCAAACGGCCTGAAGAGCGAAAAGCGCCTCGGAGAGCCTCGCGGTCCCAGGACGGCCTCGATGCTACCCCTGGCCGGCCCACAAAAGCCCAAGCGACTTGGGCTGCTCCGTGAGCCCCCCGCCTGTCTGGACGTGGTGCCACCGCGAAGCGCTGCTGATAACATGGGTGTGACCAGAAGGATGAGGAGGAGGAGGAGGAGGAGGAGTAGGAGGAGGAGTAGGAGGAGGAGAAGGGGGAGGAGGAGGAGGAGGAGGAGGAGGAGGAGTACAAGAAAGAGAGGGATGAAGAGGAGGAGGAGGAGGAGGAGGAGGAGGAGGAGCAAAGGAATACGCACAATTTGTCTATCTTGACAGCCTCCAGGTTTCACCAACAGGCGCGGATGGACATCTGGTAGATCGACCTCCGCAGCCAGCTCGCCGGGGCGGTATTTGAGCTGGCCAGAGGAGACAAAGTACATGGAATCCCCGTCCGCGCCATCCTCAAAGAGAAGGTCCTCCTTGTCCAATTTCGTCTCAACGATGCTCCTGTAGCAGACCGCATGGATCGAGCCCGAGTCGAATCTGTTCATAGCGTTCCAGAGCACATGGTCCGACATCTTCTTCATGCATCGAAAATGCCACAACGACTCCTGGAGTGACTTCGGCGCCAAGTTGAGGTACTCGACGTCTTGCTGTCTCACCTGCTCGGTCTCGGCCAGCCTCACCTTCACCTGCAGTTTGATAGCCATAGCTAAGCCTTGGTCTATCTCTTCCTGCGCCAAGAACTTCTGCAGTCTGTTGAATTTGTCGGCCGAGCCTTGCAATCGGATTTTGTACTGGGTCATCATCGACGTGAGGGTCGCCACCAGAGTGCTTCCACACAGCAAGCCCAAGAACAATGTTGCGACGTTGAAGATACGCTCGTCGGTGCTAGCAGGGAACACCTCCATGGAACCTGGGGTCATCTGCGTAAAAGCCCAGTGAAGGCTTGTCCAGTACTCATAATGGAAGCCTGCGGCAGAGTATTCGGGCTCGCTGAGCCACGTGTAACCTGTATCTGGCTCGGCGTACCTGCCGATGGCATACCAGATACAGCAAACAACGTGGTTCGCCCAGAGAATGGCGAGAAATATTAGCAGAACGTCCGAAGCGAGATGCAACTCCTCGGAATGAATCGCCACCTTTAGCTTCTGTGCCCAACCGTATACACGCACGGACTGCTTCCCAACGCGCACGATCCGGACCAATCGCAGGAAGCGCAAGTTGCGCAAGGACCCTTCGAGCTCAGACACCCAATCGTTCACAACAACGAGCAGGTCCACTGCGAACCAACTGGAGAGGTAGCGGCGAGTACATGCCCGCACGTCGAGGTTCAAGATCGCTCCCTTATCGCGGAAGCCAGTGATGAAGCACAACGGCAGGTCGATGGTCCAGAATATGCTGGTGGCCAGGACACCGAAGAGCACAGGGTTACTGGTGTGATCAAAGTCCCAAGCCACCATGATTGGAAGAACGAACGCATCGTACAGCAAAACGAGCACGGTGAGGAAATTGTAAAACGTCCTGGACCTGGAGTCCGGATTCCACGCGCGGAACCTGGTCAAGGGGACCTGCGCTGCCTCCTCTCCTCCTGGGGAGGACGCCCAGTACATCAACTCCGAGTTAGGCCTGGCCCATCGCTGGCCCGGGATCGGTGCAAACGCCCTCCTGGCTTGGCCAGGACGGCGTACACACCAATCCAGGGCCTGCTGTTGGCCTGGCCAAGGTCCGTGTTGGTGCACGTTCGGTGCCCCCCGACCGCCCTGAATGGCCGCATCCAGCATGTACGTCGGCCGCCTCCTGCAGCTGCGCTTCAAGAGTGACCCTAGGCAAGACTGGAGGCCTGGAACTGGGCTGGATTGCCTCCACCAGTGGAAGATGACCCTAAATTTTGGTGTTGGTGGTCAGATTTCGGCCCTTAGGAAGCCCGAACATTACCAGCATCACCGAGATCGGGAACATCTTCCCTCCGTGGAGGTACGCCGCCGATATTGGTGTTGGTGTCAACCTCTTGGCCTCCGAGAAGAGCGACCTTTGGTGCGTGGCTTCAAGGGGCCGCAACAAAAGTGAAATCCAAGCAATCCCAGCGCGCCGGCCAGTGCTGGCGGGACCCCCGTGGCCTGTGGGCCCGCACCAAAGGGTCACTCCAGCGAAAGGCCACTCTTACGCGTAGCCGACTCCTCATCTTGCGCACCACGCTCGGTCGCCGGGAGAGGCTGCCCCTGGTGAGGGCGCTGCCGTCGCTCGCGCTGGAATTCCGGCGGTTCGGCAACACGCCGTAGCCGGAGCGCATGCGGAGACGATACCCCCCGCTGCCGCCGAACATGCTCGCGTCATCATCCTGCTCCTCCTCTCCGGCCTGATCCGCGGAGGTGGGCGATTGGACAGAGGCCTCGGAAACACTCCGTCCGATCCTCGCGGCAAGCACCTGCCTCGACGATGCAGGCTCTGGTTTCTGCCTCCGCGCAGTCCGCTCGGCCGTTAACCATGCCCTCTGGAGATCCCCATAAGAGGCTGCTGATCCCAGCTTCCGTCCGGAAATTTCGCACCGCGGGTTGCTCTCTGTGCGCCCCCAGGGTTTCTTCGACCTTGAACGTCTGCGCCAGCGTCGTCGCCGCGTCGAGGCGGCGGGAAGTCAGGGCCACGTTCGCACAAAACTGATTCCTGGATCCCTCCCGAATACTATCCTGGCAGATTTCTCGAGCTGCGCCCAGCCGTTGCCAGGAGTGGCGCGAGCATGCCGCATTCTGATCCGGTTGAAGGAAAAATGAAGCAACACTTCCCTCCCCCCCCCGCAATTCACAATTTGCACGCATACGCATCACTGGTTCGACACTCAAACTCGGGAGATCCGAGCCCAACATTGCCTTCGGGGGGAGGGGGCACGAGTTCACACCATACGTTACGCGTGAGTGTGTTGCTTAATTGTTTCCGACACCTGTCCGGCTGGCCCGATCCCTCCGAAGGTGCAGGGCGTCCTGCTGATCGAGGGCCCGCCCGACGACGGACGGTCACTAGCGGTCGACGGGCAAGCTCGACCAGCGGCCCGATGATCAAGCTCTGGCCGACAGATGGAAGGAAAGGGGGAGGAGGAGGAGGAGGAGGAGGAGGAGGAGGAGGAGGAGAAGGAGGACCAGTGTAGGCCGAAGACTCATCAACGATACTGCAATAGACCTTCCCTCCAAGTTTCAGCTTCATAGGCTCCTACACGGATTCGCTTTCACTGAAAGAAATGCCCCGTTGGAAGACAACCGTTTGAACATCTGGAGTTGCGCCATAACGCCATTCCTGGGACTCCAACGCCGCGAATCACCGTTACTGAAGCGTCTTGGCGATCCCGAATCGTGCCAGAACACCCTCCCTGGGACTTCAACACCACGAATCAACGTGACTGTTGCGCCCTGACGTTCCGACATCGCGTCAACACGAGTGTTCTGGGACGTTAACCATGGGAATCATTTAAACTCCTGCAAACTCTTAAGAAGAATGTGCGCGGCGCTAAAGCGAAAACCACATGTTGAACAAGGAACCACCCTGAATTCGCGAATATCCTGCAAACTTTTCAAACGAATGCGCGCGGCGCTGAGGCGAGATCCACATGTTGAAAAGGAGCCGACCTCCATCCGTGAAGCTCTTGCGAACGGTTTCAACGAATGTGCGCGGCGCTGAAGCGAGAATCACATCTTGAAACCTCCATCCGTGAAGCTCTTGCAAGCGCTTACAATGAATGTACGCGGTGCTAAAGCGAGAACCACAATAAAAAAACGGACCGCCCTCCATCCGTGATCATCTTGCACACGTAAAACAAAAAAGGAATGCGTGCGGCGCCAAGGCAAAAACCACATTCTGAGAAGGAGCCGCCCTGAATCCTTGAACCGCTTGCGAACATTTAAAACGAATGCGTGCGGCGCTGGGGCGAGAGCTATATTTCGAAAAGGAGCCACCCTCCATCCGTGAAGTCCGTGCCAACTGTTTCAACACATGTGCGCGGCGCTGAAGCGATATCCACATTTCGAAAAGAAACCGCCCGCCATCCGCGAAACTCTTGCAAGTCTTTACAATGAATGCGTGCGGCGTTAAAGAAAGAACAACATTTGAAAACAGACCGCCCTCCATCCGTGATCCTCCTGTAAACTTTAAACCGAATGTGCTCGGAGCTACGGCGAGAACCACATTTTGAAAGCGGGCCGCCCTCCATCCGTGAAGCTGCTGCAAATTTCAAGTTTCTCAATGATAAACTGCTCGAGGAACTCAAGCGAAACACCCGCCCCGCTCTTTCAACCGGCCTCGGGATGTGACGGGGAGTAAGTACCTATATAAAAAAGAATGGAGGAGGAGACGCCACTTCTAATCCCAAGTTATCATGACAAATTCTCTCCTTTCAAATTCCACTGCGGTAATGACTGAAATCTGCGCGATGCGGGAACCTGAGAAGGAACCGCTAACCACGCTAGAATAATGTAATCTGAATTCCTGGGCGGGGGAGGCCAATGGACACATACAATGCAGCATACGCGCGCTCCCGAGGCCACGACCCCTGTACTTCGGACTCTTGTCAGAACCGTGCGTTCTTCCAGCTGCGACGGTGTTGCCAGGTTTCGGACACCCCTGCGTCTGGACCAAATCTCTCGTGCCAACATTGAAGTAGCGCCTACCACGCAAGCATCAACAAGATGAAGCGTCAGTTCATTCCCCATATCCAAAGGATGGGGTTCTTCTTCCCCATATCCAAAGGATGCGGTTCTTGTTATTCCCCATATCCTAAGATGGGGTTCTTGTTCCCCATATCCTAAGTATGGGGTTCTTGTTGTTGGCGGACCGCGCCGGAGGAGAGAGAGAGAGAGAGAGAGAACACACCACTCCTCTCACTCAGACCCACTCATCACTCAAACTCACTCATCACTCAGACTCACTCATCACTCGGACTCAGTCATGACTAAGACTCATCACTCATCACTCAGACTCACTCATCACTCAGACTCACTCATCACTCAGGAGCAGATTTGGAGGATGTCTCAGGCGATTCGCTGGTTTCAGCACTCCTAAGGAGAGCGGCGGGGGGGGTATTGCACTCGGCCCCTTTCGCGGGATTTTGTGGGGATGTCTCAGGCGGTTTGGCCATTTTCTCTTCCAACATGTTTCGCTTTCGGAGCAGGTTTGGAGGATGTCTCAGGCGATTCGCTGGTTTCAGCACTCCTAAGGGGAGCGGCGGGGGGGTATTACACTCGGCCCCTTTTCGCGGGATTTTGTAGGGATGTCTCAGGCGGTTTGGCCATTTTCTCTTCCAACATGTTTCGCTTTCGGAACAGATTTGGAGGATGTCTCAAGCGATTCGCTGGTTTCAGCACTCTAAGGGGAGCGGCGGGGGGGTATTTCACTTGGCCCCTTTCGCGGGATTTTGTGGGGATGTCTCAAGCGGTTTGGCCATTTTCTCTTCCAACATGTGTCGCTTTCGGAGCAGATTTGGAGGATGTCTCAGGCGATTCGCTGGTTTCAGCACTCTAAGGGGAGCGGCGGGGGGGTATTTCACTTGGCCCCTTTCGCGGGATTTTGTGGGGATGTCTCAGACGATTTGGCCGTTTTCTCTTCCAACATGTTTCGCTGTCGGAGCAGACTTGGAGGACGTTCGCGCCCAGCTTGCGGGGATGTCTCAGGCGGTTTGGCAGTTATGCTGCTGGGCATCTGTCGTTTTCGGAGCAGTTTTGGGAGGATGTATCAGGCGATTTGCTGGTTTCAGCACTCCCAAGGAGGAGGAGGAGGAGGAGGAGGAGGAGGAGGAGGAGGAAGAGGAGGAGGAGGAGGAGGAGGACTTAGACTCGCACATCACACGCAGGCTCAGGCAGGCTCACTCGCACTTAGACTCGCTCATATCCATACTTAAACTTACTCGCACTCAGACTCACGCTCAGAACCACTCATACTCAGACTCGCTCCTGCTCAGACTCATCATCCTTCGGTCCGCTCAAACGCAGACCGACTCAGACTCAGACTGCCTCACATCCATACCCAATCACACTCGGCTCACTCGCGCTCAGATTCATTAACATACACTTTTTCTCACACTCAGACCCACTCAAGCCCAGACTCACTCATGCTCAGACTCATCATGCTACGATCCGCTCAATCACAGACTGGCTCACACTCAGATTCGTCCATACTCAGACCCACTCGCACACAGACGCACTCGCGCTCATATTCACTCACACGCATACCCACTCAAACCCAGGCTCAATCGCACCCAGATTAACTCACACTCAGAATCAGTCGCTCTCAGATTTGCTATTGGTCGCACTCATGCTTGCAGACTGTGGGAATGTCTCGAGCGAGCGGTTCGCCCTCACACACAGGCGCTCATTGACAGATAGCAATAGAAAGACGTACCAAGAGAATGAGATGCACATATGGGGAGCCCCGCGTCGAGTAATTATTACTCGGACGCCTCCTCCTCCTCCTCCTCCTCCTCCTCCTCCTCATACCTAGACTTACTCATACACAGACTTACTCATATTCAGACCTGATTTTATTAACTTACTCATACTTAAGCCGACTCATACTCAAACCTATTCATACTCAGACTTACTCGTGCTGAGACTTACTCATACCCAGACTTACCCATACTCAGACCTTCTCATTGTCTCACTTACTCAACACACAGCAGATTGTGAGGATGTCTCAGGCGGGGCGCTGGTTTCAGCACCCCTAAAGGGAGCCGCCGATGGGGTATTGCACGGTCCCGTTCGCGGCCGTTTTGTGGGGATGTCTCAAGCGGTTTGCCTGTTTTCTGTCACAGCATCCTTAGCTGTCGGAGCAGATTTGGAGAATGTCCCGAGCGAGGCGCTCATTTTCACCCCCCTAAGGGCGGCCGCCGAAGGGGTATTGCACGGTCCAGTTCGCGGCCGTTTTGTGTGGATGTCTCGAGCGGTTTGCCTGTTTTCTGTTACGACATCCTTCGAATTCGGAGCAGATTTTGGGGACGTCTCGAGCGAGGCGCTCATTTTCACTCCCCTCAGGGGAGCCGCCGAGGGGTACTGCACGATCCCATTCGCGGCCGTTTTGTGGGGATGTCCCAAGCGGTTTGCATGTTTTCTGTCACAGCATCCTTTGCTTTCGGAGCAGATTTAGAGGATGTCTCGGGCGAGGCGCTCATTTTCACCCCCCTAGGGGGGGCCGCTGAGGGGTATTGCGCAGTCCAGTTCGCGGCCGTTTTGTGGGGATGTCTCAAGCGGTTTGCCTGTTTTCTGTCCCAGCATCCTTCGCTTTCGGAGCAGATTTGGAGGATGTCTCGAGCGAGGCGCTCATTTTCACCCCCTAGGTGGGCCAGAGTTTGAGGATGTCTCGATCGCTTTGCCTGTTTTGGTGGCCAGACACACACGTGGGGATAGATTTTCCTCA